TCTTCTTCTTCTTCTTCTTCTTCTTCTTCTTCTTCTTCTTCTTCTTCAGTTGCCGCTCAGTCTACACTGGAACTTTGTAGCTCAGGATGATCTTGAACTCATGATCCTTCTAGATGTAGCACAGGCAGGTGCCCCCACATCTGGCTTATGAATTATTTTGCTTTTTGAGGCATCTCCAAATGTTTTTCAGCCCAACAGTCTTTACAGCATCTAGGAAAAATACCTGCCATTGTGCACCCTGCCTTTTGCTACACGCTCTGTTCTGAGGCTGCACACAGTAGATACAAGTCTGTTCTTTGGCAGAATCCTACTTAAGAGTCGGATGCTTGTCTCCTTTTCTTACAGGAACCGTGAATCTCACAGCTCCTCTCTTCTTGTTTGGCTTTCTGGGCCTTGCAAGAATGTAAAAAGCAGGCTGGGGGGTGGGTGGCAAGGAGGAGTCCCTCTCTGCATTTGCCACTGAAATCTCACTTATCCCAACCTGCCCTCCAGAGTCTGGGAGGACAGTGCACAGAGTTGGGCTGATCGTGATAGTGACGTTTTGCACCGAGGAACGCAACTCTTGGGTGGTCTTTCTTTGGAATTGGGCTTTCTAGGGTCATTATTAGGTGAGGGGGAAATTCTAATCAGCAGTGTGTTGTACTATTGCAGTATCTTTCATCTTCAGCGTCTCTTCCTTTTTCTCTCACAACACCATCATTTTCGTTGTCATCGTCAGTAGGAGGGAGATTGCCAGGTGATGTGATGGGTACATATGATCATTCTAGTACAGATAAGCAGTGCACAGGCAAGGGCCAAGCCAGTGTGAATCACTTTGGCATACTCCAGCAACTAGAAGAAGCCCGGTCTAGCTGAAGTGTGTAGGCAGAAAAACAAGAAGCAATGAGTCTGGAAAGAGGGCAGATCCCAGTGGCCCAAGGTCTTTGTATGCAATGTCTAGGACTCTCTACTGGACCCTATGGAACCTATAGTATAGATGATGGTGAGCTATTGAGAGATGCAGGAGAGAGGCAAGATCAGGTCCGTGGGGTAAGGAGGTCACCACATAAGTAAAAGGGGATGGCTTCAAACGGGAATAGACTTCAAGAGGGAATAGGCTTTTCACCCTGTCTAGCTGGGGATTAGAAAAAAGTACACCCACTGGCAGGCCTCAATACAGAGGATTAAAGACATAGCCAGCAGGTGGTACCCTTGTGCAAACAAAAAGGTGCCCCTCCTCCAGGGAGGTAGATTCAGCCTAAATCAGGGTGAAAATCCTGGCATGCAGAGAGGAGGCCAAAGTAAGTACAGTCACACCTTCTGGGTTGGGCATTAAACCTGCAGGGAGGTGCAGAGCCAGCATTGCTCCTGGTATAGAAACAGTGCTCAATTAAAACCTTTAAACGTTTGTGGACAAGTGACAAGGGTATTTGGGCACCTACCGCTGCCAGCTATTCTGGCAGGACTCCCTGAAAACCTGGAGTGAGTTGTGGCCACAGAATAGGAGGTAGAGAGTATCACAGCTGTCCATTCCTTCACACTTTGTGACCCAAACGGTTCACTCTCTATAATTATACTGAGACAGTAGGCGGGGATAGAGATGGCCCTGGACAGTGAGACACAGGGTTTCCTCACGCAGAGCGGGATGGTAGAATATGCAGGCCCTAGAAAGCGGCTGACTGTGAGAAGAATCAACAGAAGCCCTGCCGTTTCTCTCATGGTGGAGTGAGGTGAGGGGGAGACTGCTGATAAGTTGGACTGTGTCGGGGGAAGAAGGTGAGTACGGCTTCCGGACTGTAGTTTACTTGACGTCTGTCCTTTTGGAGTGGGAAGCTGGGCCCTCCCCAGTGATCCTATCACATCGTTTCAGAGGCATTGTGGGATGCACACTGGGCATTAATTCTTG